ACAATAATGAATTTAAATATACTACGAATATTAAATCTACCACTCAATAATAAGTTTAATGAGATAAAACTACAATTTGACTACTAAGTTTATCACTCAAAAATAAATCTACCACCGTTAGCGTTAACTCGACCACGCATAATTTAAGTTTACCACTCAAAAACATCTCTACCACCAAATAAAAATAAATTTACACAATAAATCTACCATTCAAATATTAAATCTACCATTCGCGACAAAGTCTACGGACTTGAAGTAAGTCTACAAACCCCATGATAAATCTACCGATCATAAAATAAATCTACCATTACGAGAACGGTAGACTTTTTCTTTTTTTGCGAGAACTTTTTCCACCAATTTCTCCTACGTGTCATGAGAGTTTCGTAAATACGTTTTTTGTTTTTAAATCAAATAATGGTAATATGGATAAAAGAGCTTGTTTGAGTAATCACCAAAGATAAGTATCACTTTAGTCAAAATCAAATTTTCTAAGGTTCTTTGAGTAAAATTCTTTATTTTTCTTCTGAACTTTCCATGCAAGATTTATTATTATGGAGTATCTATTATCCTATTTAAAAACTCATTCTCTATACATGGGGAGGTTGAAAGTTTTATTGGATCCCTCGCAACTTCTTGCCATAAATGAAGAGATGAATTATAAAACAAATTACTAGTATAAGACTAAAGTTAATGCACTAAGCCACTTTACTTAATTCGCAATGGAAAATAAATTCACCAAACTTAACCTCCTTCCTTCTAATAGTTCCCTATCATTCAAATCTGGTGAAATTTAGACTCCTTGTTAAACAGAAGAACAAGAAACCAAAGCTTCATCAATGGCGGATCTTGTTCCCGCCAGTTTTTTGACACGGGCCAATGCCCTGTTCAGAAAAAACTTAACCTATCAGGTATGATATTTGGATTCTAATTAATATCTGGTCTCCCAAGAAATCTGAACCATTGGACCGACATGAGTTGGTTATTGGCCTTTTTTTGTTTCTTGTACATATTTCCAAAACAATAATACATGTGTTGATACTAACTTGCAAGAATGTAAT